CGATTAATCTTATTAGGTCTGTAGCATGCCCTCCTCCGCTTATGTGTGACCCTGACCTTTTTCTTCTCGCGCCAAGCACATGGAAATACTCTTGCTGATGCACTACAGTGAGACTTGCACTGTAGAACTCTATCTGTTCTTAAATCATATGAAAGAACTTGAGCACATCCAATCCAAAACCTTAAGGTAGTGGTTGGAGTGATGCAAATTATTTATGAACCCGTTGTCTATTGGAAATATTTCTACTTTTACTTCAAAGTAGAAAGGAGGATCCTTGAATGACGCAATCTAGTTTTATGGAAGGAAAGGAATGCCAGATGCTTCGAAGGGAAGATTGATAGTATACAAGAGCTTAAATACAAATGTGTATGCTTTTGGCTTTTTGGTGTAATCTACAGCATGTAAAGGATGGTGATGATAGCATGATAGATTTCATTGTATCTTTACAAGGATAGGACTTCCACAGTATGAATCATTCTTTTTGGTTTTGTACAGAGGGGTTTCTGATATTTGTACTATGTTAGCACCATCTTGGTGCCAAGCTGTTCCTCTTTTTAATATATAACTTACCTTTTCAGAAAAAATGATGCAATCTAGAGAGAGGCCCATATAATATATCCTTCAAGTTATTTGAGAACCATATACAAGGGAAAGCTTATTGGTAAAGACCCTCCATTTCTAACCAAAAAGTTGGGTTTTGAGTCACTTAAGGAACAAAATGGAAAAGGACTACTGTTGGATTCCTAGGTAGGGGGGGTTCGGGAAATTGAGTTTACTGTATCAATTAAAAGTAATTTGAGAACTATAACTGTAACAATGAGAATCAGTTTCTGTTGTTCTTTCAATGCTCATGTCTGTTTTCGTGCATTTGAGTTGATCTTATTCTTATCTTCATCCTTCAAATTTTCGTGCTGATTGATTTCTTGATTTTACATGAGCTTAGATGTGGAGATTCTGAAAGCAATAATACTCCATCAGTTGAGCAAGCAAAATGCTTTCAGGTGGTACCAGATTCGTTTATGTCTTACCGCTGTAGCTGTGCTGTTCAGCCAGACACTTCCCTTGAAAAACATCGTTTCATTTGTGAACCTCCGCATACTACTCAGATAGAAGAGAGAGGAATTTCTGGCTGCATTAGGAAGAATTTATTTGCTTGTAAGTTGAATGACAGTCAGAAATTTCCCTTGGAGAATGTGGCCTCTTTGGAACAAAATAGTAATTTAATGGGGCATAAGATAAACAAAATGGAGTGTCACTCTTCTCAATGGAGAGATGTTCCCCAAAAAGTGACAGGAGCAGTTAGTCTGACATGTAAGGAACAGACAACAAGTTTCCTGAACGTGAATGAAAAATTGAGGGGACAAAGTGCAGATGCTGGTGGAAAAATACCCAATTGTGATGTAGCTTTTCAAAATGTTGAATGTCTAAAGGAGCCAGAAATGTCCAATGTTTCATCTGGAGGATCTACGCCTCTTGTTACTGAGGTATCTGCTGTGATTCATGACAAATATTTCTCTAGTGCTGATGGTCAAAATACTACGGCAAGTAATGCTGTGGTAGATGAAGGATCAGGAATCGACAGATGCTGGTCATCTAATGATGTGCAGTGCAGTGAACAAAGTGCAGAGTTTTTCGGTGTTGTTTGCGAATTCAACCCCATAGATGCAGGGTCATCCAAAAGGTTTGCTGATAATTGTTCTCGTAGTCTGATTGACGAACTTAGACTAAGAGATTCCTTAAGATTGAACAAAATGCAGAGCCATTCTAGTTTCAGCATTCAGGAAAAGAGCCGTAGTATTCAGAAAATGGCTGATATATCCAATAAAGTGATTAGAAAAAGAACCAAGTGGAGAAAGTTGGATACAACATTTCCTGCCGTCTACTCTGCTTGTGGCTATCCAGAGGGCACGTGTGGTGCTGGGCTACAATGTCATTCGTGCAAGTATAAAAAAAATGCCCTCCCATCTGATGATGGCAGTGCAGAAGAATGTGCATATTCCATAGAACCAAGTTTCAGAGAGAGGAGGTTCAGAATGCGTTCATTGAATACTCTTTCTTGCAATAGCAAAGTTAAATGCCATGAAGCAAAAACTATTGGTACTCAGTCAGATCTTTTGAAGGTTGGCGATGATGATACCTTTGTAACTTGCGAATTACCAAGAAGAAAGAGGCCGAAGTTGGATACTGCAACACCTGTTAGGCAGATAGATGGGGAAGTTAATCTAGGTGATGAAGCAGTAGCTAAGTGCAGTTTGGTAGATACCTCTATGTCTTCTGAGATGCATGAGAAGATTTCTAGAAGGGAAGTAAGACCTATAGTGTGTGGGAAATATGGTGTAATTTCTAACGGGAATCCATCAAAACCAGTTAAATTTGTTTCTCTGAGAGAAATTTGTGATTCATTGGCAAAGTGTAGCTTCTCTGGAAACTACACCGCGAAAGTGACTTATGTAAAATTCAGGAAGGCAAGTACAAAAGGGAAACATCAATGCATGAACAAATCTTGTAATCTCAAGAAAGTTGGGAGCTGCAATGCTCATCGTGTTGTAACTGCCAAAAAATCTAAAAGTCATCTCTTGACATCTGGTGAATTGGATCATTGCCATGGAGGTGAACTAGGGGCTGGCTTATTCTACTCTCTAGAGAAGAGAAGGTATGATTGCCTTGTAAAAACTGGTAATATTGCAGATGATTCTCTGCCAACTCAACAGAAGCCAAAGTCCAAGGAGATTCACAAACGAGGCCTTTATGAGTCGAAACTTGAAGGTATGATTTTCAGAACCAGGTTAAATGCTCAAGGGACATATATCTAATAAAAATCTGGTTGGTACTGTAGGCATTCATCCAGGAGAAGGAGGTTCTACTTGTGCTCGAACTGAGGTTTGTTGTTTCTTAATAATAGTTTAGATGTACTGAACTCCTGAATTAAAGATTTTCTAAGACTTGTTCTACCTTCAGGGATACAAGGGTCGCAAAAAGGAAGGAGTGCGGTATAATTTTCCTCAGTATTCTGAGTCTGGTGGTGGATGCCTCGTTGCCCAGGAGCAGCTAAATGCCTGGATTCACATAACTGGACAAAAGCGATCTAGAAAAGAGGTTTCAAGGCTTCCACCTAAAGATGCTGAATATGATTATCGGGTATGTCTGAGTAACAGTTGGTTGCTTGACAAGGCACATTGTGCTGAATCGTTAAACCCTATAGTGGTCCAACTGACAAGTCAAGTGTGTAGCTTTTAAGTTCTTGTGCGCTTTGAGTTCAGTTACTGATGTTCTTACTTTTTTGTTACACTTTATGTTTCCAGAAGGAATATGCTCGCTATAAACACTCCAAAGGGTGGAAGAGTTTGGTTGTATACAAATCTGGCATTCACGCGCTTGGTCTTTACACATCTAGGTTTATTTCACAAAGCGAAATGGTCTCATCTGCGTCCACACTCTTCCTCTGAATTTATATGTTTCTCATCAGCAAATTTAACTTTCCTTTTTTTTTTTTTTTTTTTTACCTCTAGGTCGTCGAATATGTGGGTGAGATAGTGGGGCTCCGTGTGGCTGACAAAAGAGAAATAGATTACCTGTCAGGAAAGAAATTGCAGTATAAGAGTGCTTGTTACTTCTTTAGGATAGATCAAGAGCATATAGTCGATGCAACCCAAAAGGGAGGGATTGCTCGATTCGTGAACCATTCATGCATGGTAAGTGTCTACCGTAGCAATATTGTCCTGTTGCTCTCATGTCCAATTATGTTACAGTTCCAACTCTTTCGCAAATCAATTTTGGTTATTATTTTGGTCACTCTGCTTTAATACTTCTCATGTAATTTATGCTTTCTTTCAAGAGAAAGAAATAAAAGATTGATGTCAGTTTGATCGATCCACGATGGACTCAGTTTTTCTTCTTTTGCCAATTTCTTTTACCAGCCAAATTGCGTTGCCAGAATCATTTCTGTGAGGAATGAGAAGAAGGTAGACGCATCTCATTCTACTTTTCTTTTCACTTATATTTTGTTACATTGCATAGTTATGCTTCTCAGTTTTCCATTTAAACATATAATTAGTATGTTGATAACTAAAACTAGAAGTTAAAATACTAAACCTTGATCAATATGCAGGTAGTATTTTTTGCCGAGAGAGACATCTATCCTGGAGAAGAGATTACATATGACTACAACTTTAACCATGAAGATGAAGGCAAGAAAATCCCCTGCTACTGCAATTCAAAGAATTGCCGGCAGTACTTAAACTGACAGAACTTGATACTTGTTCGGGCGAATGTTATCTGGGGACCAGTTGAAGTAAATGGATGTAATTCTTTGGCCTCTGCACCAATGTCCTCGCGAATGTTATATCTTGTAAATTTGTATGTAAATAAATACTTCATTCTTGTGTTAACATCTAGATCTGCAGTTTCTTACCCCGTCTTTTGGTTTCTTGTGATTTAAGTTATAGCACCAAACTAGTCCTACTTGCAACATTGCTAAGTCCATATCCCAACAATAACACTATCTCAATTCTAAATAAGCTAGGGTGGTTATATAAATCTTCACTGATCAAACGTATAAGTTCATCTCCAGCAAATATTGTACAAAATACAAATAAAATTGCATCACGAATTGAGCTTACAAATGCAATGTTTACTGCCTAATAATCAAGTTGAACAAACAATCAGATTAAGCGAACTCGGGTGATTAATCAATGCTGTAAATTTGATAACATAAGTCTTATTTAACTGACCATTTCACTGCCTGGCAAATTTGTTTTGGACTAACAGGGAGGCTCCTAACTCCACCTAAGCGAGTTTCGCAAGGAATGTTGATGTTGTGATATAGTGATGGTCAGCATAAAGATAGTTTCAATTTGATGAGCTCTAACTTGAATAGAACAGAATGAATGCAGAAGAATTATATATTGCGGCGTTATAAATTGATAAGAACAAGGAAAACCTTTAAGTTATCCAGATTTTTCTTGTACGGGTAAGATCCTGTTTAGACTGAAAGTAACGAATAACAGCAAACTTAAGATATCCCATCATTTGTCATTAGATACTAGTTTATTTAGCAATGAGAAGAGCTGCAACTAGTAAACTCAAGAACTACATAGTTTCTACATAGCAACCTACTGCACATGGATCAGATTTGCAACTATACACTGGTACGTAAACCTACTGGATAGAGACAGTTGGAACTGCAGCCATAATAGAAGAAGTTTCAGATACCCTGACAAAAGTGATAGGGGAGATGCAATTTACCACCAGAAGTGAGGAAATAAGATTTTTCTTGTATGCAACATTGGTATAGAAATTACAAATTATGAACTCATCATACATGTTGCACATGTGAAACAGCTTCAATCACAATACCATTCTAAGAACCCCAGTTTGGAAGGTTAGCGGTGGCTTCATTCACCATTTTTACCAGGGTAACCTGCCAAAAACCAAATACATAATTAGTTGAAATATGATGAAAGATCAAAAGCGATTTTCATTCATTGACCGTTGGCATTTCATGCAAGATATCACTGCATCCATGCCACATCAAAATAGATCTCTCAACAGATATACATACTAGAAATCAGGTTAGCAATTAAATGCCAATTGTAAGGCACCATTATGGGGACTTCCTCTTCTTTAAACCCCTCATCGGAAGATTTATTCGGGTTCCAGGTCCAGTCGGAGCCTTGGCCCCCGACTCACAATATAGCCGTAGAATCATACATGATAAATAGGATATTGGCGATGGAAAGTACCAATAGAATTTTTTTGATGGATACGGATAGGGGGAAAAGAAAAAGAATACGTCATCAAATGCTCATTCATAGATCAAAAGAAAAACTATAAGGGACATTGTGCACTCAGAACGTCCAGAGATGATGTATATTTCACAGATAAAGTATGTGCCCATCACTTAGAACCAAGTCCAATGATCAAAGACAGAGACTTTTGCGCGGGGGTGGGGGGTGGGGGAGGGGAGGATATGCCAGAGGAGGCAGCTGCTCCTACTCACCTTTCAGCCAATACAGCAATAACCCCTCCTCCCTCCCCATCATCTTTAAATTAAAGAAAAGACACCAAAGCTTTAGTAGGTTATCTTTTGAAGGACTATTTTCTTTGATAATTATTTTTGAAGCTTCAAAACCTTTTGCGAATCTCTCATCAGATTTAAGAATTTGGTAATATGCACGTGTTACTAGTAAAAAGTTGATTTCCTTTATGATAGGCTCTTTTAATTTGTACTTCTCCCCTTCAAATATTATTTATTAAAAGTAAATCATCCATACAGCAAAAGGTTAGCAATGCTAGCGCTACGAGCGGGAGAGAAAGTTCGCAATAACATACAACTTCTTATTTTAATTATTAGATCTATAATTTGATAAAACAAAATCCTCAACTATATTCCTAGAACCATTCCTGTTATGGGGATTACAAAGACAGATAAACATACCACGCTCTCTGGGACACCAGGTGGAGGAAGAGAAAGGTTCCTTGGAGGCCACTTATTATCATATGATCTTTTGTCGAATCTCCACTCTCCAATTTTTCCATAGGTCATCTTTCCCTGGAAAGCATGTTGTTCACATCATTATGTTTATTACAAATTGGCATAATCATAGTCAAAGGAAGTTGCAGCTACCTTCATATCATAGTCACATCCATATGTGTAATGAATTATGTACGCTTTGCCGATTTCAGTATCCCAAGGAGGCTGGAATAATTCAACAATATATGAAGGATTAGGTTACAGGTCATGTTTATAACTAAGATGTAATGCAATGAATTTTCAACCCACAACCAAAATCACTACAAGCTCGTGATGCTGCTATGAGCACCAATAAAAGGAGAAGAAAGGAATGATATCAGGTCTGTCTTGGATAAATCTTACTGTAACAGCAGATGCACATATGGAATGGAAGAAGGAATCAGAAAGTAAAGGAGAAGAGCTGTACTACTTCAATATGCTCAAAGCAGTGAAAATTTTTAAAATAGTAGGAAATTTAGGAGGAGGAAAAGGCAAAAGCTCCAGGAAATTGTTACTTTGCACAAGATTTACATTGCCCTTCAAATTACAACTCATGTCCTTTTAAACACATTTCAGTCGTAGAATCAAATTATACAGACAATAAGAGTTTTCCAGTTTTCCCGTGAAGAAACAAATAAAAATGGTTAAGCCTGGATCTGTAAAAGGTATAATGTTTTGTCAACGTTTATAATTATGCATATAATATGTCGCTCTATCTCTAAAGGGAGATAAAGCATCTCACTGGAGAAATTCTAAACGCCCATGACGGCACACAAAATACAAACATCAAATCTTTGCATTTATCGTATTTTTTTAGAGTAAACTAATGGTTTATTGTAGACTGGGATACTTTGATAGCCTTTTCTCAGATCGCATTGGCCTATGTTTACATCCAAAAAAATTCGGTGCTATAAGCAAGTCCTTAACACACGATATACAAAGAAAAATCCTAGGTAGGCACCAAATAAGATGGAACTGGTGTATACTGATCGATGAAGCCAGAGCCCATTCAGTTGGTTTTTCATTAGCAAGTATCCCACACACCATATGATCTGAATAATTAGTGTGGGCATTGAGCATTTCTAACACAAGAAGTTCCCTCATTGAAACAGTTTCTTTTTCAAATGGGCGACAACAAATCTTTTTTGTCTCTGCTTTGCCTTGGAAAGAAAAAGGAACAAGTAAAATATCAACCTCTCAAATAAAGCAAATGATCATACCTGAATCATGAATTCCTTGTGCAATATGTTACCAACATTATGCAAAGCAGACGAAACTGCATAGGCATACCTGCATATGGATTTTTCAGTAACAAGGGCATTTGTGTTGTATTGATAAAACATAACAGTAATTAGAGGTGGGCTGATTACATCTCAAGAACCCAACCAAATGCTTTGTCTGCTTCAGGATCCTTTTTCATCGCCAAAGAAACATTCATCCATGTCGGAGCTATCTTCTTCAAAGCTTCCTATTATCATCCCGCAGAAAAAGGGAAAAAGGAATTTCCCATTCAGAAACGCAAAACTGAGAACTAACTAACTATAACTTATACAAAATAATCTAGTACCTTCCCAACAATGACAGGGGAGTTCCCAATGGGATCAATGTCAGTTATAGGTCCCCGTTCTTCAGGGTAGAACTTTCTCAGTACAGACTCATACTTTTTGGGTTCTATATAAAAGAAAGGGAATGCCGCTCCAAGGCCATCCATTGATAGGTTTGGGATGGGCTTGACGATAACATGATCTGGTTCTGCCATCAATATGTAGCTGCACATAAGAGTTACTAATGAGTAAATATTCCAAGGAACTAACAAGAAAGTTGTGCTATTTTGAGTTAAAGTTTTATGAGTGTGTTTCCGTACTCTTCTTCAATTTGTGCTTGTTGAAGCCACTGAACAAAAGCCCATGGCCTATTGAGGACAATATAGCCCTGAAATTGACAAATGTGGTGAGAAGTGAGATATCAGTTACCAGTTTATTCAAAGGAAACACCATTCGGAAAAGAATAAAAAAGAAAAAGAAAAAGCATAACAGTCTCTCAGGTAACATGAGAAAAGTGAAGGAGAGACTGGAAAAGCATCAGTGCAACCGCTCGTGTATGTCCCTAATTGAAAAAGTTCTTTACTGCAGTAGTGTAAGAAATGATTCATAAGATGTTTATACCCGAGGTTTAACCTTTAATTTTTAGGCACTCATTGGTCTCACTTCTATACATATGCAGCAAGAGCAGTATTTCATGATGAAGTTGCTATTTTCAAAGCTTTTTATTTTCTGTTTCTTCTGTTGTGCACTGATTCTTCTTCTTCTTCTTCTGTAATATGTTACCATTCACCACAAAAAGCAAGGACAACCATACATCTATTGCATTGTTAACATTCTTCTTTTTTATGTAAACCCAAGCCACCCCCCTCAGGACTGCTCTTGCCATTGGAGTAACCTCACTTGTCTCATTCACACTGAAACACTCTCTTCATTTGTCTTGCATGAATAGACTTTAACATCTTTTTGTATTTCATAAATCACTATCCAAATCCATTTTACATAGAGTGCAGAGCAAAATTTCATACCCATCCTGATCGAATTTTCCAATTCTCACTCCATACATCAGAAAATTATAGAAAACCAAGGATGATAAAAAGATGCGAGTTCTGGATAACCACGTCCAATTTAACTAGCGAAGCTGCAATCCAAGTTCAACATACTTTGTACATAATTAAGTACCAAAGTGTATCATCTCTATCAACTTAAGCTTTTCGACGAGGCAGTTCACCCTATTTCAACATGATATGACAATAAGTGGAGTTCAAATTTCACTGTCACCCTTCAGTAAAATTATTCCACTTACTTGGCCTCTTGAAAATAATAAGGTAGTACATGAAAGGGTGTGCTGAAAACGTAATTAAGTAAATAAAAGAGTGCCTTATCTACTACTCTCTCCGTCCCAAATTAACAGTCACTTTAGCTAAGAAAAAATTGTTCCAAAATAATTTTCACTTGAGGAATTTAAGACTAATTTGTCAATTGTTTCCAATTATACCCTTAATATTAAAGAAGTAGTATTTCTTTTTAATACTGCTCAATAAGCATTTAACTTAGTAAACTATACCTTGTTTTTATTGTTTTCTTAATGGGCGTGAAAAAGAGCTAAAGTGACAGTTACAATGGGACGGAGGGACTAGTAGCTTAACTTTTAAAGATGAGGCGGATCACACAATTCAATAAAAGCAACCAAAATTCTAATAAATGCACGAAAAATTCAACATGTCAAAATTGGAAGAAAAAAGAGAAACTAAAATATTAGCCATTACAAAGCAATTAAAAAAATTCCCAAATAAATAAATACCTGATCCACCCCAGAGGGAAGTGGCTGAGCAACAAAAGTAGGGATCTCATCCATAAACCTATCTGGTTTACCATTATGCAAGATCCTTGTAAACCCACCCATCTCTGAATTTTCCTCATCCTTAAACTTCTTGAACCAATAATACATAATCCTACACTGCCACGTGTTATATACTGAATCAGAAGATGTTACAGCTGTGTGAAACAACCTCTTCTTGCTCTTTGATTTGTCTAATGGCATCTGTATAATTGGGTCTTGACCAAAAATCCCAACTTTTCTAAAATTATTTGAAGGGCCTGGGAATTCTTGTTTGAAAGAAGCATTAGCTGAGATGAGAATATTGTATGTGATCAATGCTGCTGAAAGTGTAATCACCACTGTGAAGAACAATTTCCCCCAACCCATTTTTTCTTTTTTCAACTTTGTTGTAGAAGTGTAACTGCTTATTTACATTATATATATGTTGTGTAATATTTATGTATAGGAAAATTGGGAGGTGGTAGCAAAGTGGAAAGAACTTCCCACAAAAAAAGTCTTGGATTTGGAATCTGTTTGCTGTTTGTCAGCTGGTGGCGAGTTGGTGTGAGAAGGGAGTGGTTAGAGAAAATGTTTGACTATTCTTAATTGTGATTTATTTAATGAAACCATTGGTTACAGTTGTTATACTCTACTCTAAATGCAAGTGAAAGTTAAGTTAGGGGTTAATGTGGGGTTTGATATACACGGTAATTTCTTTTAAAAGCCGCCTTTGTAATTTGATGAAAATGGTTGACCATTCCTCATCACATATTTTATTGGGGTATTATCACTTTTAGCTCGTGCTAGAAACTAATTATATTTGGTAGCTCAAAAAGTCGATAAAACTTGTATAATTTTTGTATATAACATACAGAATAT